GCAGTTACAACAGTGACGAAAAAGTAACTTTGTGACCAATGCCCGCATTTACAACCTTTGCAGCATCTCTCTTGGTCACAGGTTCACCATGACAGTTACTTCATGATGTCCTGGGCCTGACCCGTTTTTTTTCTCCCCCTCCTTGCAGAGCAGAAAGAATGCCTAAACAAGCTATCTCTTCCTGAGCTGCTTTTCTCTGCAAGTTAACAAGCTCAACTTTGTGACCTTAATTAGTTGATTAGAACCCTCCAGCCAGCTTGCACTGCTATCTCAAACTGACAAGACCCTAATCAGTTTCAACTAAAGGCTTTTGTTTGCCTCCTAAGGGGCTCCTGTCTCACAGCCACCAGTACGCTAGGCAAACAGCCAGCACTAGCACATTGCTTTCGATGTATATTCCCCATTGTGTGCCTGCTTACTCTCTTGTAATCCCTTCCTCTCCAATGAATGTAAATACAAATATCAATTCTCTTCTTGCTAATTATCCCAGCACCAAGATGAGCATTCCAAAGGGCAGGGGAGGGGGGGAAGGGCTATAAATTTTTCCTAAAATGCATTTTTATGGGCGCATTTCCTAATGCATGGATTTTTCAAGGCAATTTTCTCTAATATAATGCATTTTTGTCTATATAACTCAAATACATGCACTTGTAAGCATACATTTACATTTAACTTATACAGATATTACAAATGGGACGTGGGTGCAGTTCCATGAAAATATAGGTGCTCCTTCTAGCTAAGCTTGACTTCTGGTAACTTCATATCCATGGAGGATTGGTTTCCCCCTCCCCCCCTTGGTGTGGAGGGGAGGCAGTAATGTAGAAATGGTTGGCCACTGCCTTCTTCCAGGATTTTTTCCAACTTCCCATTGTAGACTAAGTCGTGGAATTCCCCAATGATCCCCCATCCATGTATTAAGTAGATTTAATGGGCAGGGTATTATGAACCAAATGTAAATGAAGGAAGGGAATGGAGGGAGTTGCATTTAGAAAGATCTAGAAGACCATGAGCCAATTATTGGACTATTATGCTGTTTAATCTAAATCTTCAAAACAAAACAAAGATACATTTATCAAAAGAAATAAAGTAATCTGTAAAATATAATTCATGAAATGTGAATGTGCTTGAATTATGTGCAAGAATGCAACCCTGCATTTATTTATTTGTAAGTAAATTCTAGTAACTAAAATGGGATTCACTTCTAAGAAACCATGTATAGAGATTGCAAGGCACAGTTACATTTTAACTCCCACTGGAACAAATGGAAATTAGCTTATTTCACTGCTCACTAGGATGCTATTCATATGTACTTTTCACACTAAAACAGCTTTTAAAATTTAAAAAAAAAGTTTATTTTGGTTTTATTTTCTATCATAGCGCCAAAGCTGAAAGCAGATCTAGCTCCCTGTGCCAGGAAAGTAGTAGTAGTAGTAGTAGTAGTAATATCCAAAAGATCTGGAAAAGTTTTTGAACAAAATAGGAATAGATAGAATCTTGACTCATAAATTACAAAAAGTTGCATTATTTAGAACAGCATGTACATAAAATAATAACTTTAACTATCCCAGATCTTTGGAAAGGGTGTGATAATTAAAAGTACCAAACTGAATCAGAACTATTTGGTAGACTGTGTGTAAATAGCAATAATATTAATAATATGTTTTAATTATGATAATAATCTGATATCCCTGAGGGAATTTGTGAAGGAGGATAGGAATGAGCAGCCTCTGATGAAATACATTTCAGTGTATATCTGATTAACTACACAAAAGGTCTGTGCACCTGCATCACAAATGAAATTCTGGCTTTCCTAAAAATTGGAGTCAGATCTTTATTATTTTATTTTTTGGCACTGTTTTTATTCTTCCTTAATACTGATCAAGGGGATGGGGGAGAATTTGTGGCCTTCCAGATGTTGTGAACTACCACTCCAGCATAACTTATCATTTGCTATAATATCTAGGCCTGTTGTAGTTCAGCAATATCCACAGGACCTGAGTTGCTCACACATTGTTTTGGTTGTAGATAGGAATGGCAAAATTTTCCATTTTATTCAATAATAATCAGTATGAAGAAATATTACAAGCCATCCTGTCTAGCAAGATGCAATGGTAGAACCCTAGGATGGGAGGGAAGGGAAGGAATAGCATTGATCACTGAAATCCATAAGTGATAAAACATATAAAACACATTAAAATGGTAAAATCTCATATCTAGTAGAGTTACATTAGCATTTGGCGAAGGATTAAAATGAACAAGTAAATACTGTAGGCCAATTAAAGGAGATGTGTTTAAAATCTTCTTAAAGGCCAATGTGAATGGCAATCACTGCATGGTACTGCAAAGTGAATTCCACAGACAAAGCTTGATCCTAAGTGACAGCCACATGGGCCAGATTGGATGCACAGCTCCCTAGATGATTTAGGCAGTGGAAATCTTGCAGAAGGAGGAATACTCTCTGTGTCCCAGGCTCAAACTGTTTAGGGTATTAAAAATAATAAGTAACACCTTGTATTGAATCTGGAACAGCCAGCCAAAACTGGTGTAATACTCTGGAGGCCAACCTGGCTGCAACCTTTTGTACTAACTGAAACTTCCAAATGGCAGCCTCACATAGATCATATTACAGAAAGTAAACCTGGAAGTTATTAGTGAATGTACAATTGTTTTGACACCATTATTATCTAAGAATGGGTATAAGTAGAATGAACAGATAAAAAGAATTTCTGGTCCCAGACTTCACCTGAGCAATCGGGGAGAGATTTCAATTCAGAATCACTCCCAAGCAGCATACCTGTTTTTTCAGAGTGTGACTTGGTCTAGAACAGGCAGATCTATCACAAGTCTAGAATTATGAGTCTTCACAGTGAGCATTTCTACCTTATTTGGATTTAGTTTCAATTTAGTTTTCCTTGTTCAACTCATTACAGTCTACAGGCAAGTATGCAGAGAGTCCCACCACTGGCGGATGATGCTGGTACAGAGAAATGGATTTTATTGACATCCAACATATAGATAAGCTCCAAATCTCCTGATAACCTCATCCAGTGTAATGATATGTGGGAGTGACCTTGGGAGACAGGAGGGAGAACCACATACTGGACAAGTGGCATGTGAAAGATGTCTCAGCCCACTGAATGGGGAGATGTCATGGGAAATGTTTCAAAAGGGGCCCTCCCTAGTTTTCTGGAGAGTAAAAGGAGAGGAGGGGAGAAATACTTTCAGTCTTGCAAGATTCTGTAATGTAACCTTACAATAAACACAGAGCTAGTACTCCCAGATGTGCTACTTTTCTGGGCTACCTCACAGGGCTAACACCCAGCAGTTTGTGTGTGTAAAAAAGCATCAGATACAAAATGAAGCTTTGAGGGACCACATAAATCAACTTCTGAGTGAGACCATCTGGAAGTTTCCTGATAGGAATAGAGCAGTACTTTCAATTCCCAAAACTTCCAGGTGGTCCACAAGGATTTCCAAATCTAGGAAAACCAAAACAATAATACTTTCTCTATCTCCCTCCAAGGATCATCCATCAGATTGACCAAGGCAGCCTCGACCTCACAGCCTTCCCTAAAACACATTTGAAATTGATCTAAAACATTTGTCTTGACCTTGCCCAATCATGGAAGAAACTGGCCTACAGTTGCCCAAGTCTGAAAGGTCAAGGAAGGATTTCTTAAGAAGTGATCTAAAAGTGCCTTCTGAAAACAGGAAGGTAACTTCCCTGCTGTTAGAGAGGTATTTATAATACTGTACTTACTAGTCAACTCCTCTCAACAGGGGATGTCAGTTATGTTGGGTAATGAGGAGGAGGATTATACTTTTTCTTTTTTTCTCAGACCTGAATCATTTACTGATTGTTATACAAGAAGCATCATTCAGAACCTGAATCCCCAAAGTTTTCATCCATTCAATTCTCAAAACTATTAAGATATATTGATTCTAAATAGGACTCTCTGGAAGGGTCAGAAACCCAATTTTTCGGTGGGGGGGTATCTACTCTGGAAAATGTACTATACATGACAGATATTGAAAAACAAAAGGACGCTTATTTGCAGCAACACACATCTCCCATCCCTGGAGATGGGAGATAACTACTACCTAGAGAGTTTATTGCTAGGTCCTGCCAAAGTCAAGACTTAGTGGAATTAGTATCAAAACATACCGACACATTCTGACTCAAGGAGGAGGTGGGTATATAGGCTCTACTTTATAAATTCATCCAGCAAGTGTAGATTACAGTGTAAATCAGGATCAAATCTAATTAGTCAGACTTACGGATACAGCATATGAAAACAAGAAACATTAAGACTCTGTACACTTCCATTGTTTCAGAGCAGCGATTAGGCAAAATCTGACCAAACATCCATATTCCAATCTACCACAAGTCAGTATCAAAGACATAAAAAGAAATACAGTCATGGTTATACTTTCCATCATTTTACTGCAATGACATTTCATTGCACAGCTTCATACAAACTTTTTTCCTTTTTTAGTTATTTAATACGTATTTTAAAGTGTGTATGATCCACCATTTGTGAAGCATTAACACAGACTTCCATCACTAATCCAGTGTTCACAATTTTTAGCTAAAAGTCTGTAAATCTAAGAAAACCCATTATGGGCAGACATGCCAGAATATATTAAAATTGATTCCTATTAAGGAAACACAGACTTTGATTCCCAAGTTCATTTTACAAAACTATTCAGGTATTTAAGAGTGCCCAATACAGTATTAACCATACCTGTACCAGAAAACTATCAGGTGTTCATTTGGATTTGTCTTTGCAGTTACTTTTAGCTTGTAAATATATTTTGAGGCATTTTTTTGTCAGTTACAAGTTGTATTGGCTTTAAACTATTAGTTTGTGGGCAGAAAAGCACCATATTCACTATTCACATAAAATAAAGGAATTAATCAATAGACACAAAATTGGGATTATTGGGAAAAAGAGAAGAATCCCAAACTTATTACACAGAGTGTGAGAAAAAGAAAATACCTTGTCTAAGCCACATGATCCATTTAAATCAGGTTAAGTGTAGTTGAGCCATTTGTAACCACATTCAGTACCAGCTTCTTCCTGTTTGGTTCTGGGAAGCCCTGGTAACCTTGTCATACTTTACCCATCACCCAGTTGACTAGCCATCAACAGGCGGGAAGATCATGGTCATGGTGCTGAAACAGAAGTGCAGGGACAAGACATGTAACATTAGCGCTACCATACCTGGGTTGCAAAAAGTCAATATGACCACTAAATGGCAACAAAGAGATCCATACAATTTTAATTCTTTGCTGCCATTTAGTGCCTGTCCAGATTTTTGCAGCCCAGATATAGTAACCCTGCTCAATACACATAAGCATTACAGGCAGGACATAACACTTTATTCTTATTTAAGAACCAGCAATCCTAATACAACCAATATTCACAGTTTAATGTTTCTAAGTGAATGAATGGAAGAACAATGGTTGAATTAATGGGGGTGGGGTGGGGGGCAGAAAGGCTTGTCCCTGTCTAGTCTTTGTTTTGGCCCCATCTCCTGCTGACAAGAGGCTTGCCTGATCACTTTTCTACATAGGAATGCAACCTTCAACTTTAAGACATTGCTGATTCTTGGTTCAAGGCATTGTTTCCCAAAATGATTTCCTCCTGATGTACTGGACAGGTTTCAGGCTAAATTCCAAGTCTTTCTTATCTGACTTCTGCATTCTTTATACCATGGTGAGTTTTGAACCAACCACTAAACATGGTACTTTATAATATAAGTCTCTGAGAAACTTATACAAGATGGTAAAATCTTTTTTATTAATCTTCTACAGTAGTTAAATTTGAAGAAATGGAGAAAATACTCAGTGTAGTAGTCACAACCCCATAAACCATCTATTCTGTGATGGCAAGAAACCCTCTATAATATAAAAGCAATTTTGAGGTAATTGTTGTGTTCATATATACATTTAAGCCAGGATTTTAAAACCATGTTTTGCTGAACACAGCCTAGTTTGTACCTGATGCTAAACCATAATGAGTGAGTTCATACTTCAGGTTTAAGCTCAGCTAAAAGCAAATAGCCCATATTATGTGTAATAGTAATATGTGTAAGCCAAATTCAAGAGTTGCATAGCACAATAACTTAAAAACAATATTTATGCCTTGCTCCCAGCTTTCTGAAATCCAATTAAAGCCAAATAATTTTGCACTTAACCATATTCTGAAACTGAAAAAAATATTTTCCTGACAAAATAATGTTTTTCTCTTCGAAGTCTTTGTTATATTGACAAAAGTAGAGAAAATGAAAAACTGTTAAGTTTCTTGCAAATAGTGATGAAAAACATAAATTCCAAGTGGGAAGTCCTGAAAATTATTAAATGTTCCAGAGGGAGATCACTTTTAAACAAATAAATTGCTAAAATTGCAAGGATGGAAAACAAATTTCTACTTTTCTTTTAAAATTCCTTTTCTGATTTCATTGTTTATCAGAGGGAACCCAAAATATTTGAATATAACACTGGTTGATGCTTGCCATGTGAACATAAATACATTCACAATCCAGCCTAAAACATAAGAATTGAACCAAGGAATAAAAGATTATATAGTAGGAAATTTGTGCATGCTGCTTTGAATATATGATTGGGATGAAAATATTACAGAAATATTTACAATAGTAGCCTGGATGAGGTATTCAGATTTGGATGGCACCAAGTTTTTTGAGTATTTATCAAACTGATGCAGTATAGATAAAACATGTGAAAATTAAGTTGTCTCCAGGATAAAATCCCAATTGAGCTGCACCTAGCAAATACTTCAGGTTCAAACAGACTCAGCAACACCATGGTTGAAAGGAAAAATGCAATCACAAGAGTTCATTCAGTCTTTCTCAACTACAGTATTACTAAAGCTGCACCATCCTATACATTTCCTATAATTAATGTTTGCCCAAAAGCCAGGGAACTAGCTTCTCAGCATGCCTACATGCATGTGTCACTACATTATTAGCAACATGCCTTCAGGTAAAAATGAACTCAATGCCATGTACTTCTCAGTAATATGTATCACATTGCACTTCTTGCTTACTATAACAGGAGGAAAGAGTCATATACAAGTAGTCCTCATTTAGTGACCACCTGGTTTAGGGACTGGCAACTCAGTCATTAAGCAAAAAGGTTGCTTAATGAAACTGTGACTATATTTATGATCTTACTTCAGTTTTCCTTTGCTTTACAGACCTGTGGTTGTAAATATGAGGATTGGTCATAAAGTTACTTTTTTATCACCATTGTAACTGCAAATGGTCGCTAAATGAGGCAGTTGCTAAATGAGGACTTCCTGTAACATGATATGGCTTATAAGCATTTAGCTTTGGCTAGCTCCTATGACTTCAGTTTAACTATGTCATTTTCTGAAATGTAAACCTAACATTGATGCCATGCGTCCACTGGATCACTCAGTGTAGCTATTGTATTAACAGCATGGCTTCTGGAAAACCTGATTATCAGGGCAGCCCTTCCCAGTGATTATATCAATGTTAGGATGAACTGCCTACCATAAAATGCTAGGCAATACCACTGAAAGAAGGCAAACAGGGGAAGGGAGTTAGCTTCCCCCCCCCTTTTTTTTTTTGGACTGTGATAACACCTCAAGGACACATGTGCATATTTGGCAAACTCATTGGATTAATTTAGCAGTTACTATTATTATAAACACTTAAACAGCATGTTTAACAAGCATGTAGACTAAAAGACTTGAACATTTTGTTTAAAAAAATAATATTGCTAATAGTCATTAAAAACTTCAGAACAGAAAATCACCTGTACTATTCTTAAAATTTAGAACTGTTTTAAAATTTAACCCAATAGTGAATGTTGTATTATATTGTGAATATTAGATTTCCCACACAGAGTAGATGTGTAATTTGTTTGGTTTACATTTTCATATTAATCAACTGGATTGCACTTCCTGGACTAACATGCAAAATGGATAGCAATTACTGTATCCTTTGGTTTTGCATATATTCCAAATTTTGCAATATACAGTTCTCCAAAGATGTATATAAAATGCATTCATTAGGAGAAGCTGCACACAAAAACAAGTACATAAAGGAAAACTATAGGAATGCAGAAGAAAGCCTACTCAATGGCTGTTCCTGACCTCCAGAACTCCCTGACATCTTGGCTAACCTTCTCTTAACAGAAAAAAATATTTTTATTCAAACTGGCTTTGGCAATTAATCTGGTTTGTTGACAGAATATGCTTTAGCCTGCTGGATTCTGTTATTTCTCTTTAAATGTATTTGAATGTTAATGTTTTAACTATGATTTTTTAAAATTGATCTGCATTTTAATGAAGGTCCCCATGACTTCTGTGCTAGTGAAAAGACAAAACATAAATTTATTAATAAAATGGTCACAGAATAAAATATAAAACTGATAGGAAGAAGAGGTTAATTGAGAAAGGAAAGCCAAATGGCAAGATATATCTCATTTGAGACTAACTTAGTGATATGAAATTGTTAGGCATGCAGAGGTGAAACATTTTATCATTTTACCTTGGAAACACTACTTGCATTCCCTTCCCTAGCCAATAATCTGAAACAATTCACAGAGGGAAAATATTAATTTTAATTACTTTTGGATTTGAGTCTTAGGAAAGTGACCACATTTCTGGACTACTATTTTGTTGAGGAAAACTGATCAGCTGGTAGAAGTTGCATTAGAAGGAGAGATCTGAGAAGTGCTTTCCCCAAAGCAAAATCAGATTTATGCATTTTCTACACAGCATATTACCATTTACTTATTGACTGATAATAGCATATGCTGAAATAGGTGAGTTTTATCAAGAAAAAAACAGAAATTGTACAGTAGAGGAATCTTTTCCCCCTGATTTAGCATGTTTCATCATGAAATTCCTCTGCCCAAGAAAAATTTTGTTCTGCAAATCACCCAAAAACCTGGGTCTTTGATTCTTTCAAGTAGACCACTGGTGGATTCACACATTCCATCCTTCCATGCATTTCTTACTGATAAAGACAATCATGTGGTCTCTTCCCTTCCTTCTCCCCAGACAATATTGATATTAGCAGGGACTAATTTGTTGCTACCATCCACTGTTTCTGCTGGAATAACTTAGGGTGAGGGACTATCTGGACAAAGCACTAAATTCCCTCCTTATAAAAAGGCAAACTGATCTTGGCCTTTAGATGTTGAAAGTTAAGTATGGTTAGTTTTATTCAGAAGTCTTCAGCTACAACAACTAAAAAATAAATATTTCAAACCACACCCACCCAGAGTATTAGAATGGGACCACACCATGGGCAAATAGCAATGAGCTTACAGCAATTTACATATAAATCAATAATATATGACAACTGAGATGGTGAAAAGGAACACCATTTAAGTACTGAGAAGGTGAATGGGCTATTATCAGCTGTGCATTTGTAATACAGAAAAGGAAGTACATGGACACAAGTGGGATCATAACTGATGAAAATCTTTTAAACATATGGATAACCAATAAATGCATTGAAAGCAGTGGGATAAGACTGGTCCACATGGCATCATCATCTGTGTTTTGAAAGCATGGAGGGTTTTGCTGAAATGCCTGCAGCTTTCTCTCAAAGTGTGGTTAATTAGACTACTCATTTTTAAAGATTTGGGACTAAGCCTGTATGACTATCACTAGTGATAAGTAGATTTGTGGATTTTGATATCTGTGCTTATGCTGCTCTACAGTGATATTGTGCACCCAATTTTAGCATAGATCATTTTTACCCCCAGCTTTATGTGAATAGTTTCAGTTTGTTACATAGCCCATGCAAAGGCAAAAACAACAAAATCCCATAATTTAATCCACATCGATTTATACTGGCAGCTACAAACAGTTCTCTGAAGGAAGCCATTCCTTACTCTTAGGTAAGATAGCAAGTCTATCAACTTCTTCAAAATGAAATTTTACTGTCAGCCTAAATTGTACAAAATGAAAATTTACTTTCAGCCCAAGTTTTGATTATTGTCTATAAAGTCTAAAAAAAGTTGGGTTCATATTGTTTAAACAGTTGTGTTATTCCACAAATAGGTTTCTTCCTCTCCTTTCACTGTGTTCACAAAACATGTGATTGTAGGGCCATATTACAGAAGAGCTACTATCTTATACAGAACCATAAAATCCTCTCTGTTTCAACTGG